CAAGCGCGGCGACCGGCCCGGCCTGCCCAGGGCCTGTGCCGAGGAGCACCGCACACACGGACCGTGTCACGCAGTCCCACACACACACAGAGACGTGCGTGAGCATACATTCGATTGTTCGATAACCCCGGAAGGGCGAGGGGAGGGAAGGGAAAGGAAAGGGGGAGAAAGACTTATGAGAACTTTATCACGTGGATCAAGAGGAGCGGGGGAAAGGAGAGGGAGGGGAGCAGCAAGGCAGAGAAGGGCGGCCGCATAGGACTATCTCCGCGGGCCGCCCCGCCACGCCACGCCCCGCAACGCACGCCGAGACATTATTTCACTTTCAGAAGCGTGAATGTGACGCGTCCGTGCCAAGCCACTACAGCACCAGCCTGCTCCTGCCCACTGCTCACTCGACCTCCCGCGCCGACGTCGTTCTTAGCAGGGCCCTTTCCACCCCATCGGCCCCGCCCCCCGGCGGCGGCACCGCCCCCCAGCCCCTCTTGATATTATAAACTCATTTTCATTAGAGCGATCGCAACCCTAACGTGTCGCGCCGCCATCCACGTCAGCAAAAAGCCATCGTCGTCCCGCCGAGTTTCCGCCTCCAAGGCATAAAGCCCCGCCCACAAGCAGCCGGGGGCAGAAAGCAATCTGTTATCAAGTCGATACTATAAACTGTTGTGATATAAAATGCACTGCTATTCTTGGGGTTAGGTCTTCTAGACTCAACAACCGCAACAGACATCGACGACTGCAATTAAATCACTGAGTCTTTTACCTGCACTGTTTCAGAAGACAAGCAGAATAAAACATCATATACCAGGTGGCTGATTAACCCCGCGCACTTCTGTAGTTAGACTGTACCGCACGCAGGAGCGCGGACGGGCTTGCCTGTCGACCTGTCCACGGCGCCTTGCGGGCCGGGCGAGTAGGCAACCCGCCCGCACTCCTGCGTGCGGTACAGTCTAACTAAAGAAGTGCGCGGGGTTAATCAGCCACCTGGTACATTATTCCATTCAATGAATTAGCGTTTAACAGTACAGCCAAACTTCAACCTTCTGAGCCTTGAATTTTGGAAAAGTCCCCCAAGCTTGACTCGTCGAAGACTGGAGAGGGGTGGGTAGGGTGGGGGAGAGAGAGAGAAGGCGGTGTAGCCGCTTCTGTGGCCAGCGCTCCTGACATAAAATCTGCGTGGGAGTCTTCATTCAGCGGTGGCGACAGGTTGCGCAGCAGTCCCGTCCACTGCAGGCGGGTGCACCCCTCTTTCTCTCTCTCCCCCATGCTGCCTACTCTACCGGCCGCCCTTACACCCCGCCCCTCGCTCCCTCTCCCCCACCGACTTCCTATACTGCGACGGGCCGCACATTACCGACAGAGGCACGCGGGCACGGCACGCCACGGCCCAGAACAGGTCCGAAACGACCCTGCCTTCCCTTTGCCTTCCCCTTCCGGGACCGCCCGTAAAAGACGTGGGGTCGGGGGGCCGACAACAAATCGGCAAATATATGGTTGGCGCACGCGGCCGCAGCAGAGGAGAAGAGGAGAGGGCCACCCCGCCCGGCGTCCTTGAACAGGCGACCTCTCCAGGCGTCCCTCCAGGAGCCCCCCGACATGACACGCAGCACGTGGGGAGGGGGCCCTGGAGGGGGCCCGCGCGAGATCGACGGCCACCTCCGAAATCGTTCGCACTACCCCGCGAGACTTCCAACGAGGCGAGGACAGTTGCCCCTCGCGGCAGACGCGCGTGCGCGCGCGCTCTCGAAATAGTGGGGCGCTGAGCGCCTGCCAAACGCGAAGGGATTAATCCAGCATCCTTTTCGTTAAGTCGCACTGCACGACGAAAGCGCATGCCTCCCTCGTGGGTTATTTTAAGGACGGCCCATTATGACAAATTAGCCTGAGTTTTAACAGGGTATGCAGGGGAGATGGGGGAGGATGCCAGCCATCCCCATCCCCTCCCAGCCACGCCGCGGCGAAAGGCCGGTATCGTCGTGAAGGCCCACTAATTCTTCGGCGATGCCAAAGCATGTCAACCTCATTTAAAGAATGTCACTCAAACGCCACCGCTAACCTCCCTACCGACGCCGACGCCCGCCTTCAGGAAGCCCCCTGCCCCGCCCCCCGCCCCCGCCTGTGGCAACCGAGTGCGGTGCCAGGACTAGAGAGGACACACCGGGCCTAGACATGGGGCAGGTCCGCCCCGCCACCAGCTGTTCAGTCGCACCAGCTGGACTGTCAGGGGGCCCCCGGGCCCCAGGCCGGGGTGGGGCCCCGTCGAAACACACCCCCGGGGACCTAACCGGGGACCCACCAGGACCCACAGAGAAAATAAAATCACAAGTCGGTTTTGCCTCCTGGTTTGTCATCTCGACGCGGCGTACAGAGTGCGTGAAAAAAACAGTACACCGTAACCGCACTCCCCCTCGCCGTGCGTCGGGGAGGCGGAGGGATGCATCGTTTCGAAATTTGACGTCAAGAAAAAGACGAGTCCTTGAAGAGAGGAAAGATGACAAGGAGGGGCACAACGACGTCAAAAAAACGTGAGGCCAGCTTCTGAAATATGTCACATATACACGGGCAAAGAAAAGACCCGGCTGTGGGGAGCACGACTCTCGGGAAAACTTTGTTTCAATGTAGCGTGAAGGGTGGCACACACTTATTTCTTAATTGACCTTGGGCCGGGTGGTGGCCCCGCTTGGTGGCCCCGCCGGCGGCCCCGCACGCCCCGCCGGCCAGAGCGTCATGATGTCACAATGCTCTCCCCGCGGCGGCGGCAGGGCAGGGCAGGGCGGCGGGACCAATGCCACCGCGCAACGCGCCGCCGCCACGCACCGCCACGCCACGCCGCGGGCCAGAGCGGGACGGGCGACATGTGACTTTGAGGTTAGGGTCGGGACCGGCCTGGCCTGGCCGGCCCGCCTTGCCTTGCATTGATCTCCCGTACACATCACGTGTCGTTATTTTAAGACGGCCATAGTGCAGCCCCGCGTGTACCGGCTGCGCGCTGCGCCCCCGAGAGAGGCCGGCCGCGGCCGCGGGGCGCGCGGTCAGGCGGGGGGGAGGGGTGGGGGTGGGGGCCGCGCGGGGCCCGCGGGCCGGTGCCGCGGGGGCCGCGGAGGGACCGGCGTCTGCTGCTGCAAATGCAAAGTCTTCTACTCTACGGCGAGTCTACTCATCCTGCTGGCGGAGCGGCGGTGTGGGGCTGGGGCCCCGGAGAGGCCCCCCGGCCCCCGGTGCAGCGATGTAAGGCATCCCATTTGCACTTATCACTGATCACACACACGCGGCACACAAGACACACTATAGAGCACTGCACTACTGGCATGACAGCCACCACGTCGCACAGCACGAGGGCGTCGTCGGCGAGGGCGGTGGCACGATGACGGCGACGCTGGTCGTGAGGAAGAGGAGGAGGAGGACGATGATGATGACACCCACCCTGGATCATTCGGCACTTCCGCCGGGGACGCTCCGGCCAGGTTGACAACTCCATCTTGCGGCGACTCCATCATCATGGTGCGTGACACTGCGCGGACACTACGACGACTACGTGCGCGCCGCTCGACTCACTTCGACTCGACGAGCACGGCGCAGCGTCGGACACTCTCACACACACTCACGCAGCACGCACACGCCGTCCCCGCTCTGAGACCAACACGGTACTAACGGAACGGAACAGAGAGAATCGAGCCGCCCTCGCCTCCACCGCGCCCCGCCCCACCCCCACCGCGCCCCGCCGCTCCGAAACGGTTTGGTTCGGCCCCCTCCGCGGGGCGTGGCAGCGCGTAGCGCGACGTACTTCGGGACTCTCCGACGCGGTCCCGAAGTGGCGACGCGGCGGTGGTGGGGGCGGCGGGGGCCCAGAGCCGACACGACGCTGCAGCAGGGAAGGACGGACGCCAGGGGGAGGGGGACACATGATGCAGCATGCCATTCCCCCGCGCCACGCCCCGCCCCCGAAAGCCGCGGCGGTCGCAGGATGAGCGCGCGCGCGATTTGAATCAGGGCGGCTGGAGCGCGGCATACGGCCGCCGTGACACGACTCACTCACTTCAGCAAGAGCAACGATGAAGACCATTCGGCAGGTACGGAAGATGCCAAGGCAAGGAGCATGCAAGGAGGAGAAGGGAGAAGAAGGGATTCCTCGGTGAAAACTACCGGGTGTATCAGAGCGGACACGCTGCAGTGTTGCGGGTTTGCATACTTTCTTGGGCCGCAGAGGCGCCATGGCCCCTTGCCCCCCGGAGGCGGAGGTAGAAGGCTAACCCGCAAAACTACGGCGTCCGCTCTGTTACACTGGGTACATGCAAAGGTATCGACAGATATTTATTGAGACAGACTTTTATTGAATAGGCATTAATAGACATTAGCACATGTGAAAACTAAACATAGTAGTACAGACAAAGCATGAGTGAGTTTTGGACTCCAGAAGGAACTTTACAGGGCATAAGTAAGAAAGGTATTCCAAGCAAATTTACAAAATTAAACACAAGCAGCATTTGGACCCATACATGCAACCAGTTAATTGTTAATGTTGAAGATAATCAAAACTTTAAAGTTAGTCACTGGGGAAACACATTACCTACACCAATTCCATATTTGCAAGGATCAAGGTACAATAACCAGTAGTGGTCTCAGGAAAACAAAGTTAGGTTTTTGTAAAATATATAAACTGAGATGGGATAAAAATGCTGAGGGCCATCAAGGCAATGACAATGAACCTCAAACACAAAATAATACTGAACCCATCTTTCAATGAATCTGTCACTCAAACATATTGCATAATAGAGATTGGATATACTGAAACTGAGGAGAACATAACTTGTTTTCTCCTACAATAGTTGCACAATACAGGAGAGAAATTGGCTAATTCAAAATCATTCACCAGCCTGGTTGTTTAAATACATTAACCAGAGTAGGAGAAGAATTATGTCTTTTTGCAGCAGCACCCTTAGTCCAAGGGATTGTTGAGTTTGGATTAGGAGTTACATTTAGAGAATAGTTGCGATACATACCAAATTGGGCGTAGGTATTAGAAAAGCTGGCATCTTGAGGACGATAAATTAGTGGAACAGTATGAATACTTGGTGGAAGCCAGCCATAATCCTGAGAAGTTCGCCGATACATGGGGTTCTGGCACTCCACTTGCACACCATACCCAGAAAACCATGCTGTACACGAAATTTATGGCATTACAGGTCGGACAATCTACACCAAAACAAGGTAAATTGATGAAAAGCAGAAATTTTATCAAATTAATAATGGAAATAACATCTCTGTAAATTCAAAATTGACACAAATAGGTCAATAACTTCAAATCCACGAAGAATTACCGCAGTTTCAGACTTCAATGTTCAGTAGTTCGTGACGAATTTAATCCTACAGACATCGAAAAGACGTCTGATATCCCACTCATTCATCCCCTCATTCATGATTTGCTGCAGTCGTGCACGAAACAGGTGTACTCACTTGGGTTATCAAATCTTTTCGGCAAGTTGTAGGTCCAGTATAAATCAGACGTTTTCATGTGGGAAGAATGCGCCCCTCCTTTCACACATTCGGGCATGTTTTCTTCAAAAAAAATTGAACAGTTAAAATACACAAAGTTAAAACATTAGCTTAGAATCATTCAGAGCAAGTTACAACACGTTTCCCTTGAGCTTCAAACTGCGATTGTCACTTGTCGTCAGCCATAGCAACGGCGGCCATTTTTTTTGTGCTGCAAATAATGCTTTACATACAGACTCTCACGGCCGCTGCAGGGAGGATAAGAGGTTATCGATCTCACTAAACAATAAATGATTTAACTGGATGTTGATACTGTTGATAGATATGGCTGCTAGAGTTCAGAAACTGATGGTACTAAAAAAACTTGACGTCACATACTGGCATCAAAAACTGCATTATTCTGGTTTGCAAACCAGCAGACACTGCATCTATCTATCGATCTACATGGAATGCTAGTCCTCCGTGGAGTCGTTGCAGATTAGCCAAAGGGCAGGTTTGTGGAAAGGAGGGGAACAGAGGGGGTGAGGTGGCGAGGAGTGTGTGGGGTGGAAGGTTAGCAAGGAAGCAGAGAGAATTTTTTGGGAGTGCTAAGACTTCAAAATGGGAAATATTGTGGAATATGATTATCCTTTTCTTACCTGTGTGAGCTTTAATACGAATCGACAATAGCTGTTGTCAAGTCACAGCTAATGAACATCTAGATGTGTACAGACAGCAACGATCACAAGCAAATTACTTCTGCTAACCTAGGTAAGTTGGATCAGCTGTGGTTGTTTTGTTTCGAACC